GGCGGCAGCTGAAACCATGCAAAAGCTAAGCTAGCTACGCGCGCCGCCCCCACTCACAGCAAACAGCTCGGGCCCAGAAGCTTCATTGATGAGGCTTTTTTGACTCGCAGTGTCCTGAGTGCCTCTGTCGAGAAGTTGTTGTGAGAAGCGAAGGACACCTAGCGTAGGCCACCAAGCCCTTTAAGAGCTCGTCGACTTGTAGTCGCGGACCTGTGCTCCGCGCTGTTCGCGCTAAGCAAGCACAATGATGAACCCGTTTCGAGAAACTGAGCAGCTCATCATCGGCAACCAAAACTAGAAGGCTACTGGGAACAAACGGCGGCACACTACTGCAGTGAGAAGCAACAGCGCCCCGAAAGCAAAAACACCACCCCAACAAAACCAAAAGAGGCGAGGAGTGTGCAGCCACTACTGCTACCCTACCCTAGTGACAGCACTGAACCATGAATGTGTGACGCGTCCGACACATCATTCCGCAGAGAGCGCATGAGACCGTAGGAGCATGGCGAACCACACTCCCCGACATCACGATTAGCCACCTGCGTCCAGCGTGGACTAATACGCATGCGCTTGCACACGGAACAGTCGCTGTCCTACCCCTGCGTTCCGATCAATCTCAGCCAAACGATGTAAGCATTGCGATCAAGATGTTGAAGATCACCGGGTTTCGCTCGTTTGGCTCGAGTATTGTCGTCTGTAACATGCCAGATCTTATCCGTATGACTGTAGAGGAAAGTACGATAATGACCAGCATTGCTGTTGTGCCCATAATGCGCTATAGCTCCCAACGTCTGATAAACACAACTGTATGTGTGCAGACTCTGTTCATCGACGAAGCAAGGAATATGCACATCAACGGTTTGTAAACGCACTGGCATGCTAAGCTTCTCAGCGGCGTCCATGTAGGTAAACCTGTTAAGGCACAGACCAAGGACACGAGGTGGATGCGTCAAAGCGTGAACGGCCTCTTGAGCACACCACTGGTCCACCAAAGTCTGTAGTGAACACTCCTGCAAATGCACTGGCAATGTCATGAGCACTGGCGTGACGGTGCTAGCGTTGTCGCGCATCTGTAGGTTGAGCAGTCGCGCCTGCCAATGACCCCGTAGGTGAGGAGGCATCGCCTGAGGGAAAAGGTGTATGTGCCAATCCCGAACATCATGTTGACTGGTGATCTGCGGCCATCCACGAAAATAGCACTGCCAAGGCAAGAGCTCCAGTAGATGAATTTTGCCCCGCTTTTGGAGCACCGTGCGCAATGCGCGGCTGGCCGTACCTGCCATGTCATCAAAAGCTTGAGTGACCCCACAAGCCCAAAGCCAGAGCATCACGGTGGCATTAATGTAGCAAATGTTGCTGTTGTTTTGTAGCCGCATGCCACAAATGAACTGCCTCGTCACTGCGTCTCGCCCTTCATCTGATCCAGCTCCTTGGCCAACATGTCCGCCAATGGATGCCGCTTGGCTCTCTCCGGCCTCATGCGGGCCCCGATGAGCTGCATCACCATGTTGCCCGACAGAGCCGAGCACAGGGAGTGTGCCCGGTCCGCCTGGTCCCCGCGGCAGCTCAAGGATAGCATGAACGGGAGTGTGGTTCCCACGACGTTCTCCGTCAACTTGCGGATGCTGCGAAACTTGTGTACCAGCTGCTCCGTTTCCTTCATGAAGATCGTTTTGAGTTCCATGACCATGTCCAACATTTGGTGATGCTCGATTGGGGGCCTGCTTGTGTCGGTCACCAACCTGTTCCCGTCCCAAATCTTGTAAAGCCACAGCAGCTTGCCGCCGTCCTTGCTGATCCACTCGTGCTTGTGCAAGTTGTTCTGGGTCGTCTCGTCCTGGAGCATCCTCTCCAACCTGCTGTAAAGTTCCAACCACATGCTGTTCACCATGCACACGCGCAAGGAGCTCTTGACCTCCGGCGGGGTTTTGTTCCGAGCCTCGTGCCACCTTTGAGCGATCCCGAAGAAAGCTGCTAGTAGGCCCTGGGGTCCGCTCTCGAAGTGAATCATGAACTGCTTGTCCATGCGAAGTAGCTGGAGTTCCTCTTCCTGTCTCAAGCAAAGGCGGGCCATGGTGATCATCATGGGCGCGAGCTTGTCCGAAGATTTGTTGCCACCGGAGTGCCCCCA